TTATTAGATGTTATTTTGTGGTTTTTAGTCAAAATTGCCAGATGGAAGGAGCTGTCCTTTGCAACCAAGGAAGATATTGGTAAAATGGCTAAATCTGGTCAGTCGCTTTTTGGATGTTGCTCATGTGCAGGATCTGAATAGTCACAATGTCCACATAATTATTTCAAAGCACTGTGAGACCACTGCCATGCAAAATGTAAAGTGCTGTGGCTGGTCTAGGAAAACTATGTGAACATTTTGACAGAAGGATGAAAATCACTTGAATGTGGGACCACCTCAAAACAGCTTCTAAAGTCCTGGATTAGACCTCCAACCTCCAATTTCATCTTGAACTGTAAGCCAATGGCTATACGCGGCTGGATTGAGAGGTTGTGTACCGGTAAAGATACAATTTATTTGTTTTATCTTCAACAAAAAACACCTTGCATTTGCCAAAGAAAATAAGTAGAGTTGGGGTACTCGGACTCGAGTACAAATTTTAGCTGACTTGTCAAAGATTCAGATGCATTTTTACTTGGACTTGACTCAGACTCTGAGACTCGAAAAACATTTGTGCAACCGAGTCCAGGGCTGCCCCTGGATTCAGTGAAATATGCTACAGACAGTTGCTGGAATTGCCACCGGCCCGATCGGGTCAGTACTGCATTGTTATGAAAGTCTTCTTCCATTATTTGCATGTTTTAAAGTCTTGCCAGTTTATGCAATCAATTCGGTACTTGAAAAAGCTGTGCGTGCACACCCAAAGCGTGCTCACAGAAAGCACATCTCAGTCAGCATGCAAATGCCGAATTAAATTATCTTTCGCGTCTTATTGTGCTTCTACGCACTCAAATACACGCACAGTTGTTTCAAAATGCCCGTCTTGGTGAATATTCACATTAACATAGTCAGTTATGTCTTAAGTGAACCTAAGCAGTTGGAAGAAAATCATATGTGTCAGTATATTTGATCCGTGTACCAGGTCTTAGTGACAGTAGCTTAATAAACCTGCTGCTGTCTGTGTGTCATTAACGTTAATCAAACAACAAAAGACAAAGAAAAATCACACTGCTCTTGACTGAATAACTTTAGTTCTGTCATGACAACTCTCGGGAGATTGTATGGTATTAGAGATTGGCATGGTAATGGATATGGATATGTTAATGTATTTGGTCTTGGTGGAATAGATCTGCAAATACCGAGACTAGCTACTGCCAATACATTCACAGAGCAAGACAGACATGCTACTGCAAATGCAACATACATGATTTAACCCCCCAACAAAGCAGAAGACAAGAGAAAAGGGCAGAGTCCTCTTCAACACAAATCTAAACAGATCAGTTATAGTTGTAGAGCCAATGCCAATAAAGCTGTTGTGCACAGCTGAAAAGACTATTGATACACATTTGTAAAGCAACTTTTCACCCTACACAGTTGCACTGGGTAATGGGAGAAATAGACAATACAAGTAATATACATGTGTTGTTGAGTGAGAAAACAAGCTACTGCATCTGCAGATATGCATTAATCTGCACAATGAAATGACATAGACAGGAGACAGGAAGGGATAGGAAAAAACTTCCCCCTAAAACAGCAGATCTATCGGCAAGACATACAGTATATCCGTTTTTTTTTTTTTTTTTTTTATGGGACAGCATGTTTTACTATCTATGTACACCTTGACTACCTTGCCGACCGGCTTAGCACCAGTGACTTAAGTCTATGTGCGCCTTGGCTACCTTGCCGATCGGCTTAACGCTAGAAATGCATGCTATGTGCTCTCGTGAATAATAGATATAACGTTGCAAGGTGATAGAGATAGGAACCCAGCAACCACCTGAGCAAGTATCATCAATTAAGTTATTTGATAACATAATAACATAACCCTTATACTCTTATTTGATAAATAAAAAGCCATTAGGAGCGATAATGAATGACAGTGTGCTCTGATGCTCCATAAACATGTTAAGCATAGCTAATGAAACATTACCCTTGAAATATAATATATATATATATATATATATATATATATATTTTTTTTTTGCTAACATGTAATCCCAATGAATGTGAATACTTTAACTTCATCCATAGCTTAGACAGCATATACTCACGAGATACAAACAATAGACCATTTCTTCTGCATAGACACAACTGCATAACGCTCCAACTTACGCTTAGTAAGTTCCTTCACAAGTCTAAAATCATGATGCTTAGTTTAACTGTATTGATTGTTCTTTTAGCGTGACCCGAACACACAAGCATCTGAATCAACCTCACACATTTAGCATAGCTAATGAAAACATTGCTCTTGGAAATAAAAGGATGCGTCATTAAAGTTATACCGCTAAATGCGGTAAACGAAGTTTAAATCGCAAATGCTTATATCATTTTAACTGTTTTCATATCCCTGCTAACAGCATATAAAGCAGCAATGACAATAGACCGCTGCTGCTGTATGCAGTAAACACTGCTGCTCATATGCTCGTGCACTGTTGACATGACGCTATTTAAAAACCTTTAGCGCGCTGCGTTTCTGAAAGCGCGCTGCATACTGCTATCAGCTGATGGATGCTGATGCAACAGCAACCAATCAGCTGTGCCATGTAGATAATGATGTGATCGCTTCCAAATGAGTCAGACTTATCAGCCTGCACCATCTAGAGTTTCATGCCAGAACTAGGTATTTACTTTAATCACTGTATATTTAATGCATACAATTAAGATTATGATGAGATTTTATTTTTACATTTATTACTTTATTAAATGTCTGTAGTATATTTCTGTAGTAGCCTGTAGCCTACTATTTAGACCTATCAGAAAAACTATTTTGTATAATTAATTTATTTGTTCTTTTGCTTGTAATTAATAATTAGACTGTTTACTTGCCTCAGCCTGCAGTAAGCTCGAGAACCTTTTACTTACATTAGTTTAGTATTAGTTTTATTAGTCTTAGTATTAGTTTTTGTTGTTTAAAACTGTTGCAGTTTAAAGGGGTGGTTGATTATGATTTCACTTTCCTAACTTTAGTTAGTGTGTAATGTTGCTGTTTGAGCCTAAACAACATCTGCAAAGTTACGAAGCTCAAAGTTCAAAGCAAAGGGAGATATTTTCTTTTAAAGAAATAGCTTTTTAAGGAGTACAATAAATGCCTGGTAGGGACTACACAAGCTTGTAATATTATACTATGACTGGTTTAATAGTAAACCACTTTTTTATTAGGACTACACCACTAATGGACAACAAAATAGATATAATATACTTGTTCTCCATGCTACTAAATTACTAAACCTAGTGAAGTATAGATAATAGATCAGTCTTATTCTTTCTTATTCTAAGTCTTTCACCTTATCTGTCAACCAACCATGTACCAAAATGCATTGCTAGAAAGTTATTGTAGGCAGAACAGCAGAGATTCTAAATCTGTATGTTATGATCTATATTGCAATCTGTACGTGTTGCAGTATCTTTTTGCACGAAGAGTTCTCTGCAAGAGTTCTCTGGAATGAATAAGCAAAATATGAACCTGCAATTCACAAGCAATATAACTTGGACCTGCTATGATCAAGAGTGCAACAGATGTTGACCAGTATGGCAGCAGCTGACCTGTGCAGTGCCAGGACTACAGATAGGAACACATGGCATTTTGGTAAAGGGCCCAATCTAACTGAGACTAGCAATACCTTTAGCAACCACACACTTTCAACAGGAGGCAGCCAACAGGTGTCATTCCACAGAAAGCAAATGAGAATAAAGACATTTACAAAACTGGACATTTACAAAACTACATTGCCTTTAGGAACAAAACTGCCCTTTTAAATGATTAAGAACAACGTGTGTGGTAAATTAATCACTCAAGCCCTGGCCTAAAATGGATTCTTCGAAAAGTACACCTCCACTACTGTTTCCTTTTGAACATATTTTAAATTCAATTGTCATTTGAGATGTACATCCTCTTTGAACGGTGGCCCACCACACAAAACCCCCATTTTTGTTCAGATTGCTGTCCTGTCAGCATCATTTTTCATCTCCCCAAAGCTTATTACCAACCAGGCAACAAGTCATGGTCAGCCCATAGTAAACCAAAAAACCTTCTAGTCATTCTCAAGCCCAGCTAACAGCTTTGAAACAATTAACTGGACAGGATGCTCCAACCTAATGTTTCACAAACACTTTTTTTTGTATCCCATTCCATGTAATTAACTGTAAATAAAAGTGTATTTTTTTCCCCTCCATCTCCCCCGAGCAGAATATCAATATAGCTTTTCAATTATTGGCCGGGCCCAAGTGAGGTCCAGACACTGATTGAGCAAGTGATGGAAAAAAGGCTGAGAGAAGAGACTGAGACCACAGCTGTTCAATCTGGGGGGCAAAGCAAAAAAAAAAAAACACAATCATCTCACGTCGCAACAGCATTGTCAATCACATTTATTACGAATGAATAGCTATCGTCACAGCTTACTCCATAAACCTCTCCATTGAACAAAAACTTCATGCCGAAGACACATCTATTAGTGCAGTTTTGACTGGCAGAGAATAAATATGCCACTCTACTGTGCTTGTTTTATAAAGAGACACGCCACAAAATAACTTTTATCTTCTATTGAGCACATCTACATCAATTTGCATTCATTAGCGCACAACCTCCGGAAACTAATCATGGTCTTGTCACCCTATAGCCTACAAGGTACATGTGCACGAGAACATTACGCTTGTGACACCTGCTACATACGTGCCTCTACAAACACACTGTATCTGCAGCAGAACATATATTTGTCCATTACGGAAAACAAGCTGTGTACTATGCCCAGCACAGAAGCCTGTGCCATTAACCTTGACTCATTTTTTCGTTAGCGTAGCGTACACATTCAAGTCAAACACCCACCCAGACATACTCACATAAACAGATGATAGATAAGCTACACAGGGGATTGAACACCATATGGAGCCAAAGTCAAATACACACACGCACACATGACTGCACACACTAGCACAGACAGGAGGAGAGAGCGCGATCTACTCACAGAATGAAGCAGACGACACCGGGAGCTAATATCAAAGGATTGGCACGGATACAAGCTGGCTGCGTCCCGTCGGGAATGCTGACAGATTCCGGGGGAAAAAGGAAGGAATATTCGAGGACACGTCTGAAACTGGACGGGAAAGGGGGTGGTGGTGGTGGAGAGGGAAGGGGGAAAGCAGATCTCACGCTTTTTAAGATCGGAGGTTAGGCTTCAGAAGATTTCCGTCTCTTGTTCTCGTTGCCTGGCTCTCCTTGTGGAATCTTGTGCCAAACACTATCAGGTTCCTGATTTTGACTTTAGATACAACAGCATTTTGTCTGGGGCAAACAGGAGTACAGAAGAAAAATCAGTCGGGAAAGCAAATAAAAAAAATTCCAGTGGAGATGAAATAACTCAATTCCCTCCTATGCTCTCCCAGAGGCATGGAGAGGGGGATGAAAACGGAGATGGAGTGACAAGAAAAATACCCAAAACTGCAAAAATGAGAAGGCAACAGAACATTCTTTTTCAGCTATGGAAAAAAAACTTCTCCCTCCTTTCCCCCCCCCCACCTTATCTCAGTCACAGCAATGTGTTACGATCTCCCTTACAGATGTAAGGGTCATCTGGAAAAAAAAAGAACAAAAGAAATCTAATTTTCGAGATGAAAAGACGACGAAAATGGAAAAAGAAGCTTAACTGATCAAAAGGTTGGAGTTAACGACGATCTGTGGCATCTGGCCCCCTCCCTCCCCTTTTTGCTTTTTTTGGTCTTGTTCTCCTTCTGTCTTTCAGTTTACCTGAATCTGAATAGTGAAATAAAAGCCACTTAATAAAATGTCCTTTGTTTTCCCCAGATTGCTGGTGAACAGCCTTCTCAATCCAATTTCTTCTTCTTATTTTTTTCTAGACCTACACAGTAAAACTGTTGAATGTCAGTCTAAAAGTTAACATCTGACTGAGGTCTAGCACAAAACAATCCCAAAATCTGTTTTCCCTTCTCAGAACTGGACAAACAGGAAAAAAAAGAAAGAAAACCGCACAGATCGGTGGAAGGTCGCCGTCAGAGCCGGCCTCCAATCTGATCCTGAGTGGTGGGGTTCTTGAACTTATCTCCCAGAAAAACCACTTGAACCTCTACTTCTCCATTTTCAGCTGCCTGCGAGGCAAGAAGTTCAATTATCTCCCATTGAATGGTACGCTTAGGATCCTCTCTGTGCGATATGAAATCAAAGGATCTTGGTATGATTGGATGACACTTATTCCTTTGGCCCCTCAGGGTTCCGTTCCAACTTAAAGCGCTGGATGGTTTTGTAGTAGTAAACGTCAAGTGATAAAAAAAAAAAAAAAAATCCTAATCAAGGATTTGTTCTTTCTTTTCGGTCCTACTTCCTCAGCCGACTTTTTTAAACCAGATATCCTTAAGTCTCTGCGATCCTGTCACTGCGCTTTTGCTGGCAGGAAAGTAGGTGCATTCTGAGAGTGTCTGGGGATGTTTGGAAGAAGAACTTGCTGTCAGCAGGCAGGAGCGTTAAGACGCGTCAAGGGTGGAGAAATTGGCCTTTACAGCGCAGGAAACAGCCTGGAGCCGGAGGAACAGACAATTAGGAACATATAATTAAAATAGGAAAAGACATAATGATGTAATGCCAGGGATGTAGAGTGGGGCGGAATGGTCTTTTTCCATTACTTACTCATTTTATGAGTGCAACCGCACACCTCTTACTCTATGGTGTCCTTGCATCGACATTCTTCCTCCCTATACCTTTCCCAAGTCCTTACCTTCAATTTTCACACTTTTTTTATGTGTTCTTCTGTCACTAACATTTCAATATAATCTTACCTCTAATCCTACATACAAGCTTCAAGCTCAGTTTTTACTATGTAAAAAGTAATTACAGCCAATTGTCCTTCAGATAAAGTGAGAAGCCAATGCTACTGCTTTGAGCAGAGAACAATCGCTGTGATTATATTTTCAGAGTGAAGTGGTGTTACGAGGGACCGTATGTAAAATGTTCTGTGATAAATATTAGTGAAACACTGGCTCCTTGTATGCTTGAACGTTACGTAAGCCTGTTAGCCGTAGCTGGAATAAAGAGAGAGGGGAAACTGGTCAAGTGGCTGCCATGTTTCTAAATCTGTCAATCTACCAATCTACTGTGCTTTTAAACATGAACACTCACAAGCTGATGCTTTTTACATCATGGCATGAGAATTGAGTGCTTAACGCTGTAAACACATTAATCCATTAAAATGCATTATGGTTTGGCTCTCTAGTCAAATTTGATTTGTTTTGAGGTTATTGGGTTAGGTATGTACAGGCCACAATTGTTGGTTTGTTTGGCTAATATAAAGTATTGCTTTTACAATTATTTTGAGAAAGATGTATTTTTAATCTTGATGTTGGATCTGTTTTTCTGGTTTCTGTGTGACAGTTGTGCTAATATGTTTTACAAAAGGAAAGAATTGAAATAAATTTGACTCTAGGGAAAACACTGTCTTTTCAAATGCATGTCAGAGCATTTGTCCTTGAAAAACATGCCATGTAACAGGTAAATCAAGGCACTTTTTAGGATTATCCGATCATGCATTGAGCCAAACCAGTCCGTTTTTGCCTACTCAAAGGCCTATTACACCATTTTAAAAGCTGTCATGTTAAATCAATAGGTCTGAGCCCTAGCAGACATCAAACTCTGTACCTTCGGCACACATATTAACAAAGACTTCAGTAAAGGGCACAGAGATCACATTCTGTACTTTTCTCTGTGTGATCTAATGCTTCCGTGAGCGAGTCAGAGCATCGTGCCAAGAAACCAAGCGAAGGTGAGAGGTTGAAAACGAGATTCGTTTTTCTCTTGCACTTCTCGCATGTGGTACAGTGAAACATAATTCGGTCTGCTTTGTCATCCTCTATTCCTGCCCCTCTCTGTCTGAGATAGCGGCTCAGAAAAGGATTCACAACTCTGAAGATTTCCCTGATAAATCCAATGCTTTGCATCATCTCAGTTACACTGAGGTAGAGACAACAATGGTATTTCACTCTATCACACAACTCTATTTCAGGGTAATTTATGAATCGCGTCACGCAGGCGATAAGGCAGCTTCTGATAAATCCCCTTTCTCAACATCGCTGATTTATATTTTTGCTATCTTTTGTACTTTTTTACAATTGTTTAGGAATGGTTGAGCTTATATCTGTATTGTCAAGAGGAGGGAGATCCTCATATTATTGTAGACTAGCAACTGAGGGAATTTTATTGCTCAGTGGATGCTCTTTCATCGCTCAGGAGTTTTAATGGAGGTCTCAGATAACTTGGGGGAATAAAAATGGAGACAAATGAGAATAATTGGCATACAGTACGAATATACAGCTATTCAATTAATGTGGATAGCATAACTAGAATTTGATGAGAAATATTTGATTTCATACTGATTCAGAATATGACATCTCTTGTGAAACTCTAGACACGATGTGAGGTTACTTAGGTCGTTAGAAAAATCTGAGAATCTCTGAGAAGTCTCTATTTGGTCTCCATTTAGTCTCTTCGCTGTCTAGGAGAAACAATTGAGATATTAAAGAGATCTCGTGATTTTTGTACACCATAAAATAATAGCTGCTTTACCCAAAATTTGTGGTTTATATATGTGATTGTATGCTTCCCCTTCCTCTCAGGTGCTTAAGTTAAATAACCTTCACACACACACACACACACACTTAGAGGCAGTGGTAGCATAGCCAGAAAAAGCACAGCATCGTGGATAAACTGTCACAATCATCATCAATCTGGACGCTCCCTGCCTCACCAATGAAATACAAGCAGAGTTCACCGGCAGACGCATATACTGCCGTGACGATATCCGAGTACTGCGTGTGTGTTTGTGCGAAGCATGTGTGAAGGATGTGTTTGACCTGAGCGCATTGGTTTAGGTTGAGTGCTCCTGTGACACAGACAGTTGTTAATGGCTGTTGAGGGATGGGCAGATGGGGACCGATGAGGAGAGTGGAGGGGGGACCGTGACAGATGAGAGAAAGAATGAAAGACAGAGAAAGAAAGAGTATAGGAGATGATGAAAGGGGATAAAATGGCTAAAGGACAACAGAAAAGGGGGGATTTGGAAAAAAAGAGGGATGAGGAAAATGATTGCGGTCAACTTAGAGTGCATCATGCAAAAAAAGGAGGGATGAAGAACAGACGGGAAAAGCAAGACACACTCACCCATGGCTCTTTTCCTTCAGTTGAGGCGGTGAAAGTCTACTGCACTGGCAGAGAGAGAAGGAGACAAACCTCAAAAGAATGCCAAAAGGACTGAAATTATGAATGTGTGCAAAAAAAAAGCGAAACCGAAGAAGATCAGACGAAAATATCAAATGAGCTCAAGTGTCCGAGTAGCTCCCCGCATCAGTCCCGGTCATATGCATAAATGCAAAATGACTTGCTAATGGGAGTCTTAGAGAATTACACATGCAGCTATAAATCAACATGTCAGCACGCATGCACTCACACACACACACACGCAGACACGCAGCGGCATGAGCAGGCTCCACAGGCGCTACCTCAGAGAACGCTAGGCTCTCCCCTCCTCCTCGGTTCCCCCGTTCTGCCTCTCTCTTTCTCAGCCTCTTCTGCGGTTTTTGTTTATTCACCTCAGATCATTTCCCAAGAGAATGCAATGGTGGGTTCTCTTCATTTTCTGCGTCCTTGCCATCCTCCCGTTTCACGGCCCCCTGTTCCAGTCCGGCAGAATTGAGCTTGCTGTAAAATCTGGCAGCTGGGCTAATGTGTAAACTGCATTCGTGCCCTCTCGTTCGTTCTCTCTCTCTCTCTCTCCCTCTCTCCCTCTCTCTCTCTCTCAGTGTCTCTTCGGCACTGCCTCTAATCCAATCAGAAGCACATCTTTCTCTCTCTCCCCATCTCTCTAACTCATATATGTTTAATCTCACTCCCACAAATACTGTAAAATAAACATCAAAATGTACATTTATCTCCTGAGATTTATTCTCCATCAAAACACACACTTGGCAAGGATAATTCCCACATTTAGTACTATACAATTCTTTCTGAAAACGATAAATTAGGAAACTTGTTAAGTTACAATACTGAAGTATAGACTAAATATAGTATAAGCTGGTAAATTTGTTGAACACCATTTAAATATGTACAGCACATATGGCAATAAAAATAAAATATAACTGACTCTTGTTCCAGGCAAACAATGTCCTTCCTAACAAGATTCATGTCTCTCATGATTCATGTCTATCACTTTTTACTCACATAATAATGTCACCATTACTGTTCAAAGTCTGTTCAAAAGTCTACAATGATGATTCTTCAGAAATCATGCTGATTTGGTGCTTAAGAAACATCTCTAATTATCAATGTAAATAGTTTTGCTGCTTAATATTTTTTGAAAACTGATCAAGATTCTTTGATGAATAAAAATAAAAACACTTCAAAAAGTTCACAAAGCGATCATAAAACTAATCCATATGAATTGAGTTTTAGTCCAAATTTTACTCGATTGCTTTATATGATGAACAGATTGTGGCACGCAGTGCGGGGCAGAGAGCTGTGGGAACGGAGCAAGGCCGGTGACACGAGTGCTAATAAGCGTCACCTGCACACCACACCGGTCTCGAGTCTCAAGGAGGAGCTCCGTAAGGATAAAAGTTGGAGTGACAACAGTGAAGGATGAGAGAGGACCAGGGCTGGACTTTATATTGGGTTTTGTTTATGTTTGTGCAGCAGTTGTCCGTGAGGAACAAAAAAAAACCTTTTTTGTTGTTTGTTTATTTTATGATTAAAGTTTATAGAATTAATTGGTTCTGGCTGAAGCTCAAACTGCTGCGTAACACACAATAATGAACCTCATTGGTTCTTGCACTTCAAGTGAACTTGAGCTTCCATTTACCACAATTGATGTGTGAGTAGTTGATTAATGTTTATATGTGAATAAAAGCCTTAATTCAATCTGGTCATCATATAAAGCAATCATGTCTCTTTGGACTTTTGGACTAAAACACCCAATTCATATGGATTAGTTTTATGATCTCTTTATGAACTTTTTGAAGTGTTTAAGTGGTAGTTGCGTAGCTGTCAATGAAGGGACAGAAAACTCTCAGAGATTTTATCAAAAAGATCATTTTCAATGAAAGTCCTACAGGTTTGGAACAACATAAGGGTGAGTAAATAATGATGTTTAGATTAACTATCCCTTTAAGATGGAAACCTATTACATTAATTAAAAGTGACCGTTAAGACATTTATAATTTAATGCATCCTTGCGGAATAACAAGTATCAAATTATGTTTAGCTTGACATTGCAAAATAAACCTTCAGGATGATACAAGATATTATATTATCAGGTACATATTCTCAATCACTCTGTTGAGGTTTATTTTGTGATAAAAACCACTATCCCTTAATTACATTGTGTATTTTTAGCCTTAACCCGAGGACCTTTTCAATATTACTTCACACACCACAACAAACTAGACATGATGTCATGCTTTAGGGATTCTGTTTTTAATAAACAATAATCACAAAATCTAACATCTGCTCCTACCCACACAACTGCATGAGGTATGAATGGAAGTCAATGGAGCTCAAAGTCTAGTGTAACGGCGGCTTTACCCTAAAAATCACATCAGTCACACACAGTGACTGGAAAACATCAAGAATGGATGCATACACATGCACATACATGAATAATAGAGCAATAAGCCATGAGACATTGTGTATTACGACTGAGGAGTATGTCAGTCACAACATGTATGTTTTAGCGGTTTGAAGCAACATTCATATAGAAGTCAATTACCATTCAGTTTGCATGTAAATCGGCTATTAAACAAAGCTTTGAATTTGGCTCATCAAATTTGTTTTGTGTATGTATATAAAATTTCATATTATATACAGTGGGGTGAACAAGTATTTGATACACAGGTTTTCCCACTTACAAAGCATGTAGAAGTCTGTAATTTTTATCATAGGTACTCTTCAACTGAGTGACGGAATCTAAAACAAAAATCCAGAAAATCACATTGTATGATTTTTTAGTAATTCATTTGCATTTTATTGCATGACATAAGTATTATTTAATAAATCAGAAAAGCAGACCTTAATATTTGGTACAGATCATACGTTTCCTGTAGTTCTTGACCAGGTTTCCACACACTGCAGCAGGGATTTTGGCCCACTCCTCCATACAGACCTTCTCCAGATCCTTCAGGTTTCGGGCCTGTCGCTGGGCAATACGGACTTTCAGCTCCGTCCAAAGATTTTCAATTGGGTTCAGGTCTGGAGACTGGCTAGGCCACTCCAGGACCTTGAGATGCTTCTTACGGAGCCACTCCTTAGTTGCCCTGTCTGTGTGTTTCGGGTCGTTGTCATGCTGGAAGACCCAGCCACGACCCATCTTCAATGCTCTTACTGAGGAAAGGGAGGTTGTTGGCCAAGATCTTGCGATACATGGCCCCATCCATCCTCCCCTCAATACGGTGCAGTCGTCCTGTCCTCTTTGCAGAAAAGCATCCCCAAAGAATGATGTTTCCACCTCCATGCTTCACGTTTGGGATGGTGTTCTTTAGGTTGTACTCATCCTTCTTCCTCCAAACACGGCAAGTGGAGTTTAGACCAAAAAGCTCTATTTTTGTCTCATCGGACCACATGACCTTCTCCCATTCCTCCTCTGGATCATCCAGATGGTCATTGTGAAACTTCAGACGGGCCTGGACATGCGCTGGCTTGAGCCAGGGGGACCTTGCGTGCGCTGCAGGATTTTAATCCTTGACGGTGTAGTGTGTTACTAATAGTTTTCTTTGAGACTGTGGTCCCAGCTCTATTCAGGTCATTGACCAGGTCCTGCCGTGTAGTTCTGGGCTGATTCCTCACCTTCCTCATGATCATTGATGCCCCACGAAGTGAGATCTTGCATGGAGCCCCAGACCGAGGGAGATTGACTGCCATCTTGAACTTCTTCCATTTTCTAATGATTGCGCCAACTGTTGTTGCCTTCTCACCAAGCTGCTGGCCTATTGTCCTGTAGCCCATCCCAGCCTTGTGCAGGTCTACAATTTTATCCCTGATGTCCTTACACAGCTCTCTGGTCTTGGCCATTGTGGAGAGGTTGGAGTCTGTTTGATTGAGTGTGTGGACAGGTGTCTTTTATACAGGTAACGGGTTCAAACAGGTGCAGTTAATACAGGTAATGAGTGGAGAACAGGAGGGCTTCTTAAAGAGAAACTAACAGGTCTGTGAGAGCCGGAATTCTTACTGGTTGGTAGGTGATCAAATACTTATGTCATGCAATAAAATGCAAATTAATTACTTAAAAATCATACAATGTGATTTTCTGAATTTTTGTTTTAGATTCCGTCACTCACAGTTGAAGAGTACCTATGATAAAAATTACAGACTTCTACATGCTTTGTAAGTGGGAAAACCTGCAAAATCGGCAGTTGATCAAATACTTGTTCTCCCCACTGTATTATATCAAATGTAATATAATAAAAACATGTAAAATAAAAAAAATCTTTATATATATTTTGTTATTTAAAAAATGTTATGTTATTTTTTAATTATTTAATCAGTTAATTCATATTAAACTAGTTAATTTAATATTTAGTGTGCACTGGCAGACATTTCCCAAACATTAAAATTAGACTCTCTAATAAATATTTTATTCAAAAATTAAAATTGTAATCATTTACTTCTTTATGGTGCTTTTGTTATACAAAAATGAGCAGTGTGAACATTATTCAAAATGTCTTATTTTGTGCTGCACAGAAGAAAAAAAACCCACAACGGTTTGGAATGACATCATGGAGAGAAAATAAAAAGATGATAATAATAAAAAGTAGTATTAAGAAAATTATAATACATTTCAACAATAGGTGTACTGCCCCATTATTATTTTTTTGGGCTCATTTTAAAACACATAACTTCATGTTTGAACATAAGGTAGAGGCTTTAAACTCATCACTGCAGGAGTCTCTTATGTACGGTCTCATTCAATCACATGCATTTACACACAGTTTTCTCTCTCGCTCTTCCTTCAGCTCAGAGTGATGCCCTGTAGGGAATTGGTTATTGTGAGTCCCTTGTCTGTCTCATTTCCCCTCTCTTTCTGTAACATACACACCCACACAAGTTCCTCTGGCACACACAATCAAACATACTCTCCATGGCATTCAGAAAAGACACAGAACGCACCACAAACAGATGCAAAACAGTGTTTTGATTGGACGACGTACCTGATTTATTATCATTAGCATGAGCCATCCATTCTGTTCTAGTAGAGTCAGCTCTCGCCGTGGGAATGCTGGGACATTGGTCCGCACGGGTGACAGCAGGAAATGAGATCTCGCAGCAGGAACATATTGATGTATGTAATGCATGGTTGTGTTTTCACCTGAGATTAAAGCAGCAGAAAGGAGGGAGGGAACATGGAGCGCAGAAAAACCAAAATGCCAAAAGGGCCATTGAGATGAAAGGCTAACTGCCTTCACAAACTATTATTGACCCCTGAATATTACATTAAAAAAGGTTAGTGCCCTTCAGGTGATTTGTACTACAGTAGTACCTGTATCAAGTGAGCAAGCATTTTCTATGGAATAATCTCTCATATAAATCAGCAATAGATTTACCATTATTCAGGGAGAATGACACAGGCATAGAGCATGGAACGAAATACCCTACAACAATCAGGAGTTAACAACATGGCACACAAGATAACTTTGAGATGTACTTTATATTCATTTATTTAATTGTATATATATTTTTAATTATATTGAAGACATTTGCATCTACATGGCAAGCAAACTCAGTAATCGTTCA